ACAACTTGGATCAATTTATGTTTTGTGCCGCATCCCAAGGGGACATGTACAAAACAACCCTACCCCACACAAATCTGACTAAACGGAGTATAAAGCCCAATTCTGGGCACAAAAATCTTGCTAGTGCTACAGCAGTTATACACTCCATTGGCAGAAGAAAATAACGTCATGCTGGCTTATTCTACAGCTGTCAGAACTGTTCGTTTTTATGTGGGTTAAAGTGCAGCTCTTGCTGTACTGTCATGCCCGCTTGGATGTATGAACAAACAGCCCCATACTCCCCAAGTTCCCATTCGTGAATAGTCCTGGAGGAGAGAAGAGTGACCACAGAGCTGGGATCTATGAAACCTATAGTGCCGGAGGGGGCACGGAATAACAACGGAAGCATTTTTGCAATGTCCTCTCTCCTGTCTCGTCCTCCATCCTACGTACATATTAGCAAAAAATGTATTTGTAAAGTGATTTTTTTTTTTTTTTTTTTTGCTAAAGGATGTAGTCATGCCTGGCCACCTCCCCTCCCAATCCTTTGCATGTGCAAACACGTGTGTGCATGCACAAAGAAGCATGGTGTCTCTGCACATGCACCAGAGATGACAGAATTGGAGAAGTGGGCCATAAGGAGAACTTTTGATTCAAAAAAGGCAGTGCTGGACTTCACGGTTTAGTAAGTACTTTTATTTTTTTTACTACCAGGGACATGTTTTAGAGAATTTTTTGGGGGGGCTGTTAGGCAAAGTGAAGTTATTCTTTAAAGCAGAACTAAAAGGATCCTTATTTACCTTTTCCTCCAACAGTCCCCATCTTCATTCTATGCATGAAGATAAAAAACCTTCTCTCTGCAACATCCCCCCCAGCTCCCCCTAATACCTATGCCCCCTCTTGATCCAGCAATGTGCACTGGAGTCTCGGCAATCTCAGGACTCCCTCTCCTCATTGGCTGAGGCAGCAGCGGGAGCCATTGGCTCCCGCTGCTGTCAATCACAGCCAGTGAGCCAATGAGAAAAGAAGGGGCAGGGCCAAACTGCGGCTCCATGTGTGAATGGACACGCAGAGCAGTGGGTGCCTCCATAGCAGGCTGCTTGCTGTGGGGGCACCTGACAGGAGGTAAAGGTCAGGAGTGCCAGCGAGGGATCCGAGAAGAGGAGAACTGAGGCTGCTCTGCGCAAAACCACTACAGAGAACAGGTATATGCGAGTATGTAGTTGTTGTGGATTTTTTTTATTTTCATTTAAGCCTTTAATATCGCTTTAAGCTTTAGCAACCTTTCTAGCAATTAATTTCTAATAATAGCATTATTCATGAATATTATTGCTTTGATGAAATATTACTCTTTTCTAAAATTATTACATTTAAATTTATCGGAATTCCTTAGTCAAGATAGTAAATGGGTGTTTTCTGTTGGTAAAATGCCAACATCTCAGTTGACTGATGTTATAATTTGATGTTTCCTGTAGGAGGCTGGAACACCCAAAAGAATAAACAATGACATATGTATAAAAAATATGCTACCAAGCAAATGTCTTGCTGCCCATAACAACCAATCTGAGTCCTTGTTTCATTTTGTAGTACACAGTGCAATAATATTTGGAAACTATTCGGTTGCTGTTTTAAAGATACATGAATCACAGATTTTACCCCATGAACATACTGCTAATGCTGGTAAATACAGCCTTTCAGCTTTGTGGTTTGTTGGCATAGCTCCCATATCCTGAAATTTTCATTCAAAGAATTTTCATTCAAAGAAAGAATTTTCTGCAAATTCTTCTGGACATGTCCTTATGAGTGGGGGATAAGGACGGGGAGCAGTATAGAGTATATAAGCAATCCACCAGAGCATGCTTCTAACCAAAGAAAAGTTTGAAAACATTTAGGCAAGCGACGTGGAAAATTGAACTCTGTTTGGGACTTTTCCATTGTTTTTGTCTTATCTTCTCGAGAGCTGATGTCCGCTATCTCATAGGCAGTGCATACACTAGTCATTTTTTTTCCTTCAATAAATGTTGAATGGGAAAAAAAATTACCCAGTTCCCCCATCCACACATTCTAGATGGATGGGGGAATCCTCTCCTGCTGTGCTATTGTGTTCTGATGGTGGGGAAACTTCCCTGCTGTCAGAATGCACTAATCAGCACCATCAGACATAGCCGATGATGCTGATCGTGTGGAAATTTTCAAACGGACTGGTTGTACAGAAGTCTATCAGTAGATCGACATCTGTACAACCAGCTTGCCAATACTGGCTACCTGTCTGTTTGGACTTTTCCAAGCCTGATATAACATTACATGTGTCAAACCTGGATGAAGCCAACAAGCCAGAAAGGTTGCACTAAATGTGTGTGTGTGCGTGTATACTGTAGGTGTGTCAAGCCACAGGTGGAATAAAAGAAAATTGCTCGATTGCCGCATAAACACAGTCAATGTTGATGGGGAATTCCTCACGCAGCGATATTGAGTTGTGCTGGCAGGGAGCCTTCCCAGCCGGCAGAGCACAATGCTTACTGCCAGCGGCTATGCGGCTATCACATGGTCAAAATCCATCAGGCTGGTTGTACCCAAGTCAATTGGTGGATCAACTTGGGTACAACCAGCCTGCCCATAGATGGATCGAATCTCGGACGTTCCCTGCTGAGCTGTCCAAGATTTGATTAACCGCTTCCCGACTGACCTATAGCAGATACTGCTACAGGATGGCACGGGTGCGCAAAATCACGTGTATTTACACGTGATTTTGCATTTCCGGGTAGAGGGTGCTCATGCCCTACCCGCGCTGGTGCTGTCAATCATCGGGTCCTGGACGGTGATTAATTGGCGGTGCCGGGTGATTGCCGAGCATCTCCAAAGGGGAGGAGAACTGTTTGTAAACAAAACAGTTCTCCTTCACCAGCTTGTGCACACTGCTTTGGATGGCTGTGCACAGCGCAGCCATCCAAAGCAGTGTGCTTACAGTGAAGCACAAACACACAGCCCCATCGTAAAATACTCCCAGTACACAGTTAACCCTTTGATCGACCATCATGTTAACCCCCTTCCATTAGTACAGTGTCGGTGCTTTTTTTTAGCACTGATCACTGTATTCGTGTCACTGGGGATGTCAGTGACACCAAGTTAGTTCCCCCCGTGTCAGAATGCCCGCCGCAATCCCACTATAAGTCGCTGATCGCTGCCATTACTAGTAGAAATAAAAAAATTCCAGTATTCCGCCATTTTGTAAACGCTGTAACTTTCACGTAAACCAATTAATTTACATGTATTGGGATTTTTTTTTCGCAAAGACATGTAGCAGAATACATTTTGGGCTATAATTATGACGAAATGTGGTTTTTAAAAATTTTTTACTGGATATGTTTAATAGCAAAAAGTAAAAAATTTTAGTTTTTTTTCTCAAAATTGTTGGACTTTTTTTTATAGCGCAAAAAATAAAAACCGCACAGGCGATCAAATACCACTGAAAGAAAGCTCAATTTGTGGGGAAAAAAGACGCAAATATCATTTGGGTGCAGCGTTGAGTGACCGTGCAATTGTCAGTTAAAGTAACGCAGTGCCGTAACGCAAAAAATGGCCTGGTCAGGAAGGGGGTAAATCCTCTGGAGGGCAAGTGGATAATCTGTGGACGGCTGTATACTCTGTGGAAGCAGGTGTGTCTTGTCCAGTCTTTTGTCTGATACAAAGTAATGCTTGGTGCACACATTCACTTTTTTTCCGGTTAAACCCATCAGGCTGGATGAAAAAACAAAACAAAACTGAGAGATAGCTGTACTAACTAAGCAATGTTCCCTTGTGTTCTGACAAGGGGAACCCCCCTTCTCCCCACCCCTGTCAGAACACACTGATCGTCACTCACAGCCATTGGCTGATCGGATGCTGGTTTTCCAGCATGTCCCTTTGACAAAAGCTGGTCCTTAGCCCGGCTTCAGTCAGAAGGACAGCTGTACACATGGTCCAAATGTGGGACGGTTCTTGCTGAACCGTCCGATATTCAGACTATGTGTACAGAGCTTAAGTGGGACATGGTCTTGCTGAGAGAGGGCAGAGAGACTGAGCAGTCCAAGCTGGGCAACGTGAAGTCAGGTGGCTGATCTTTTGAGATGGACTGATGGTCCCAGTGGACCAAAAATTAGCCAGGAAGCTGAAGGTTTGTTTTGTGTCCAGTGTGATGCTGAACCCCTGCGTGGGAAACCTTCTCTAAGCCCTGGTTCACATATATGCGGCCGTGCGGGCCACATTTTGCGTGGGCACGAGAGCCCATTCATTTGAATGGACTCCCGTGCCCCGTGAGACACAGGGAAGAAGTCCCTGCACTTCTGAAAATGCAGCCCACACGGGACCTCGGTTCCCAGTACGGTTGCGTTTTCCAGTTTGGGAGGCGAGCTTAGAACTAATGGCACCCGCCCGTGGGTCCACATTCCTCTGTGAGGGTCGGCTGCACGGATTTTCGTGCGAATCTGCAGCGGCACCACCCACACAGATGTGAACTTAGTGCCCGAGTTTCCAAATGGTCAGTACCCCCCTGGCACACACTATATACTGTATATGTGCGTGTATGTATGTATGTATGTGTGTGTGTGTGTGTGTGTGTATATATATATATATATATATATATATATATATATATATATTTATTTATTTTTTTCTCTTTTAACTTATAATGCAGGTTTTATCTAGTGCCAAAAGTTTGCGCAGTGCTATGCAAAACGGGCAGACAGTACAGTTACAATACAATTCAATACGAGAGAAGTCAGATGGCCCTACTCCTTGCAATCTGAAAGTCTCTAAATCACAAGTTGACGTGTTTACTGAGAGCTCTGCCCTTTAGGTTACATCTTTAACCACCTTCCGCCCGCCATATAAGGTAATGACGGGCGCAAGACGGTTCTTTCGTTCTGGGAGGACGTCATATGACGTACTCCCTTTCTTAAAGCGCATGCGCAGCTTCAGACACAGGGGATCACTGATCAATGGAAAGAGGCGAAGATGTCGGCTCGGTCATGTGATCAGCTGTGTCCAATCACAGCTGATCACATGTAAATAGGGAATTGCTGGTTATCGGCATTTCTCTCCTCATGAGCTGTCACGCTGACAGCTTGTGAGGAGAGGAGAGCCGGTAATCGGCTTTACTCAGAGGGGACATGTGCACTGATCATCGTGGCACTGATGATCAGTGTGCCTTGATGATCTGTGTAGCCCCAACAGTGCCAGCTGTCAGTGTCCATCAGTGCCAGCTGTCAGTGCTCATCAATGCCACCTGCCAGTGCCCATCAGTGCCACATTTCAGTGCCTACCAGTGCACATCAATGCCACATATCAGTGCCCATCTAAGCTGCCTTTTAGTGTTACCTATCAGTGCCAGTCAGTGCCGCCAATCAGTGTCAGTCAGTGCCGCCTATAAGTGCCATGTATGAGTGCTGCCTTTCAGTGCCCATCAGTGATGTCTGTCAATGCCCATCAGTGCCACGTACCAGTGCCTCCTCATCAGTGCCACCTATCAGTGTCCATCAGTGCAGCCTATCAGTGCCCATCACTGCAGCCTCATTAGTGTACATCAGTGAAGGAGAAAAATCACTTATTTACAAAATTTTATAACAAAAACTGAGAAAAAAAAACATTTATTTTTTTTCAAAATTTCAGTGGTTTTTGGTTTGTTTAGCAAAAAATAAAAGAACCCAGAGGTGATTAAATACCACCAAAAGAAAGCTCTAGCTGTCTCAAAAAAATGATAAAAATTTCATATGGGTACAGTGTTGCATGACCGCGCAATTGTCATTCAAAGTGTGACAGCGCTGAAAGCTGGAAATTGGCCTGGGCAGGAAGGGGGTATAAGTACCCTGTAGGGAATGGTTAATATACACACACACACGCGCTCATATATGTCACTGTTCTGTACCGCCATTGAAATATCCATGGACAGACTGTGACCTAAAGAAGAAATATGTAGGGTGCCGATGAACACTTTCAATATCCTGGGCCCTATAAGGCATATGTAGTGAGAGGGGCACTACGAGACTGTTAGAATCATTTATATTTTTGTGTCATCAGACATTTTATCCAGCATCATCTGAATGTGGTTATTTACAGTGCTGGGGGAGATGGTTTAGCAATGAATACACGTCTTTTATTGCACAAATTATATAACCCTGTTTACTTCAGGCTGAGATTTTGGATGCAGTAAACAGATTTTTTTTTTTTAAGTGAAAACACTCTATCTGCTATGGGAGGTTGGAACATTAAAGGAGAAGTACAGCCACCATTCTTTTGGCTGTATTTCTGTGGATCACAGTTTGTTCTGCACTCCTGTGACCAGTTTTCAGCTGACAGCGGGCTGAAGCCCAATGTCGACTGACAACACTCAGCTGGTGCTGGTTGGGAAAAGATCCCGACTTTAAAGTTGGGATCCACCCCAAAGTCTGGAGCTGCATCTGGCTCAGCCTCTCAGTGAGCCGCTGAGATCCTGAGCCAACCGCTCCCTCCCTCTCCACAGCTCAGAGCTCTAGTGAAAGCGGAGGGCACAAAGCAGTCAAAGCGGCTGTAAGAGCTCAGCGATCCATGGTCATGTGATCGCCGAGTTCTCACACTTAGTCAGGGTTCACATAAATGCGGTGCAGTATATCGCATGTGATTTGCACAGGAACCGCACCACATTCCTGTGCAAATCACATGCGATTTGTGTGCGGTGAGATTGAAGCCATACATTTTGTATGGCTCAGATCACACTGCATCTGCACCAAAAAGGTGCAGGACCCTTTTTTGGGTCCGCACTAGAATCAGATCGCATGGGTATTCACACCTATGCGATCCGATTCTGCACAGCGCACTGCATTTTGCGGACTGCTTTCAGGGTGTTGTTAACTTAAAGCGGAGCTCCACCCATAAAGGGGAAGTTCCAATTTAAGGACTGCTCCCCCGCTCCCCATTAAGGATTGGCATCTTTGGGGAGCGGGTACCCGAATTTGACAGGTACCCGCTCCTACTTCCGGTCCGATTGCCTAGGCGATCAGAAACGGAAGGTGTCCTCCCTGCCTCCCTGTAGTCTTTTGGGACACGTGACAGGTCCCAGAAGACTACAGGACCATTCATGAAGCGTAGCGCTGCTCACGCATGCGCAGTGGGTACCCGGCTGTGAAGCTGCAAGCTGTCACAGCCGGGTGCCCACACTGAAGATGCCGGCCTCCTGGAATACAGGATGGCCGGTGAAACGGGCTGCGGGGGACACACCAGGTGAGACAGGTGAGTGGCTGTTTTTTAAATGTCAGCAGCTACAGTTTTTGTAGCTGCTGACTTTTATTTTTTGATAGGTCGAGTGGAACTCCGCTTTAACATGCACACCTGCAGCGGTTCACATGAACGGATTACAATTCTGATGTGCTGTGCAATTCGAACAGAAAACTCTGCAAATTCCGCACCTCATCAGTGTGAACCAGGGCTTAGAGCCAATGGGGGACAGATGCAGCATCAGACCGATGCTACATCCACCTAATTTGGGAAACAAAATCCCACACTTCTCTTTTCAGTAGCATTCGTATACATTGGAATTGTAAATGCAGTTTATCTTTATGCTTGTGCATTGTTTTTTTTATTATTACTAGTATTTTATAGTTTTATTTGCTGTAGACATTGTTCTAGGCTAGAGCAGCGTTTGCTGTCATCTCCGGTAATCTTTTCTGTATAGCGACTATAATACGCCATGCTGACAAACCAGCTTGTATAGAATAGAGATAAGCCTTGTAAATTACAGAGTGCATTTATTGCCTCCCAGCTCTAATAAAACGTCACTGGCAGATGTCTTCATTACAGCATTCTATAGGACCCTGAGGTCAGACTTCGCCACATATCATTATATTAAGTGATTGAATTCTGAAAATGTTCATAGAAAAGCATACACTAGAGAAATCCATTTTATGATTTGTCAGCTTCTTGCATTGCAGTGTTGGTAGTGATTAGATTTAAACTGTCGCCGTATTAATTGCATGTGTTTATTCAATAAAGCAATTTAAAATCTAATATGATTGTCTGCAGTTCTGTTTGTTTTTACTATGTTTGCATTAGCCATTTTCCATCTGTGTTTATACATGGATATTGGATTACTGTTCTTTTACTAGATTTTCCTGTAGATTTAAAATTGTATTATAGAAATGAGGTGAATACAGGAGTGCTGAATTTAAGGGAACCTTGGTATTTATGTATAGAAATTGTAAATTTCAGTTAGTTCAGGGGGGTGGAAATTTTTTTTAAAAAACTTTGTCCAGGGATTAATTTGGGGTCCCAATTTACTTGTCCCTCAGACAATCTATCTGTCCAGATAAAAAAATGTTTTTTTTTTAACCAAAACCGTATTTAAAGTGTTACTAACCCCAGGACCCTGCATTCACTCATCTGGTCTCCCACAGTACACAGAAGTGCAATTATTTTAGTAAATATAAACTGCTAAATACCTTTTCTCATCAGCAGTTAGAGCAGTCTTGTGCTGATCACATGCACTCTCCCAAGAAGCAAAAAAACAAAACAAAAAAAAAAACATACCGAACTGAGATGTACAGAATGACTCCACACAATGTGTCTTATCAGGAGATAAGAAGGGGGCACTGGAAGAAGGGGAGGATCAGAGAAGTTAGGATCAAACAACCTTTTTACACAATGCAGAGGATTAACCCCTTAGGTTCCACAGTGATTAAAACAAGCATGTTTAGTAACACTTTAAATCTGAGGTGCTTTTAGGAATGTCTGGGGCCTTTAAAAAGACAAAAGGGGCTTTATGGCAACTTAAACATTTTAATATTTTAACTTTGCGCTGTTTATCTCCTCCTCCCCTCCCTGCCTGTCTCCAGCACTGCACCCAGGGACTAACAGGGAGGGGAGAGACCTTGCAGTGTAATAAGCACCGATTGGGTGCTCTTCAGGAAAGGGTGGGTCAGGCTTATCCTTTATCCCTTTCGCTGTCAGGGCCCTTTTTTTGTTTTTTTTTTTTTTTTGTTTTTTTTTAACACGTTTAAAATATAATTTTAGGTCTGAAAATTACATAAAACCACCAAACATGATATATTTTCTGAGAGTAGAGACCCTAGAGAATAAAATAGTGGTAGTTCCAATTTATGTCCCACAATATTACCACAAAATTGTTTCAAAAAATACTTACTTTTAGGACACAAAATGGCAATAAATTACCCATTTTTTTGTAAAATATAAAAGATGAGGTTGCACCGAGTAAATGGATATCCAACATGTCAAACCTTAAGTTTGCATGTGCTCCTATAATGGTGAGTAACTTTAGTACCCTATATTTTCTATGGGTGACGCTTTTAAAGCCCCTTATAGATCATCACTATAGTGTCAGGGAGGAGGTCTGGTGCTAGAATTATTGCTTTCACTCTGGTGTGCACGGTGATGCATAACTTGTTTATCCAAATTGATGTTTTCATGCGTAGATTCCGTGCCGTGTGCTTTTAACATTTGTATATGTCAGGGAGAGGGGGCCTCAAAATGTTTTGGGGGAGGTTATATGCTTGGGTGTAACTTTAATTTTTTACAATTGAAAAAATATATATATTTTTTTCTTCATCACATAGGGGACAAAAAGACAACTATGTGATGATTTTTTGTGACAGGTTCTCTTTTTTTGAAACATCCAGGGTCTAAAATACCCTGAATGTCTCCCCTGTACTCCAATGGATGTAATGCACTGCATTACATTTTTTCCCTGCCTTGGTGTTGGGAAATCTGTCAACGGGGGCCAGAAGTGACATCATAATGGCACTTCCAGTTCAGGACAAGAGGAGGGGGGGGAGTAGACATGTCCGCTCTCCTGCCTCCCCTCTACACATTGGCAGCCGCTGAACTGGTCCCCGGCCCGCAGATGGGCAAGTGGAGCCTGGGAAACATAGCTGTCAGGATGGACGTACACGGGGGATGGGGGTTGGGCAGAGGAGGCTGGCACTTTAGTGGGCTGTGTGAAAGCAATCGGCGGCAGCACTGAATGCTTCCACCTGGCACGTAAGCCCTGCTGCTTGCCCACAGTAGGGCTAAAGGTTTAAAATAACTACCTACCCGGCGCCCAGAACTACATGTCCCAGGAGTCGGGCGATACAAATTGAACATCCCTATAGTTGTCAGTAAATTGTTTACACCTCATTATCCAAGCTCAAATCTAAACTTGATTAACAAAAGGTAAGCACTTCTAATTACAGCCAAAAACCACGATTGTGCGAAATGCATGGAGGCTGTGGTCGCTGTCACCATATGCGGGTTGCGGTGACGTCATTTACGGGGAACAAATTCCAGTCTGTGGAATGCACGCCGACTCTATGGTCATGAGCAGTGATTCTGATATACTATTCTATTAACCTCCCTAGCGGTATGATTATGTCCATATTTCTGTGCTCAAAGCGGTACATTTTTTTGCATGGAAATATGTATTTTTTTTATTGTAGGCCTGTAATTTTTAGGAATAACTCACTGAAATCTGTCTGAACAAGAGTCTAGTAAATATCCCGGATATGTTAAAATTTGAAACACGAAATCATAAATTATTTAATAAATAATCATAAAAAATAATATAATAATAAATTTAATTCAATAATCAAACCAAAAACACTGAAATTTGAAATATAGCGCCAAGTTCGCACATCGCTGAGCAAAGTCGCAAAATCGTTTTCAGTGTCTGATGACGAATTTCCCCACAACTCATCACTTAATTCTGCAAGTGGTTCTGATTTACTATTGCTGTTCTCTAGCTGGTCTAAAACCGCTTTTGACCTAAAGGGACGCTTTTTGGACTCCATGGACATTTCTCAGTTTCCAGGCAGAAAGAACAGTAAAAATGCAGGCAGGGCACAGGACAAAGCACTAGGGACAAAATGTATGTGAAATGGTTTGATACAGTAATGTTTTACTATGTGATTTTAGTGAATTTAGTGAATGTCACTTTTTGTCATTTTCAAATTTCCCGCCGTTCCATCCCCGTACGTCCCGACGTCGCAGGGGACAGAACCCAGAAGACAGATGCCGGCATCCACCGGAGGACATTACAGAGGACACTGCAGGAGGGACATCGCGGGAGCGCAGGACAAGGTAAGAGAAGAGCAGCACTGCATGGTGAGCCCGAGTGTAGCTCGGGGTTACCGCTTGTGGTACTGAAACTTTACCCCGAGCTACACTCGGGAATACCGCCAGGGAGGTTACAGGCTGTTTGTGCTGGGGCCTTAAAGGCACATTTATATGTGAGTGCAATATTTATGGTTTTATGGTGTCTCTATATTAATAAACTTACTACACTATGAGAATATGATGTTTTTGGGACTTATATGTTGCCCATGAGAAATACGTAATATTGGAATGTATGATGCCATTGGATCCAACATGCTGTTATCATGATGGTATATATAATAGCTTTTTGGGCTTCTACTGGCCATAGAGGTTCGGTGAGTGAGCATTTGTTTCACACATGGTGGTACACCGCATTGAGATTGAAAGAAGAATTCACATTTATTCCCGTTAAGAGCACGGTGTTTAGGAGGATACGTACACCCGTTTAAAAAGGACATTATATAATTACTTACCTTTTTTTGGACTTTGTCTTTTGTGAATTGCATTGCAGATTTTTGGGGAATTATTGAATGTATAACTTGCACTTCATTTTTTATTTTGTTTTTGTTTGATTGAGCCAGTGTTATTTGATTGTAATTAGTAGTGCTTACCTTTTTTATTTATAATTTTGTGTACATTAAAGTGTGGGTTACACTTTAAAGGGGCAGTTGTACTTAGTCACATTGTAAATTATTTAAATGTTTTTTTTTTACAAATCTAAACTTTTATATGTTGATATTTTTAATAAAATTAGTGGATGGCAGTCTGCAGAAAATCATATATTTATTTATACATTGAATTATAATTATTTCTAGCCTGTCTATGCATCATACATGCAACCTCTCTGTGGGTGGGCTTTAACACCAAGCAGCCACACATATGTGGCCCTAGGTAAACACTTTACTGTGCTGAGAGTGTGCTCCCTGCATGCTCCCAGCACACTAACGAGCCGGTATCAGAAAGCTCCAGATGCATACTTGCGATTGGGAGCTTTCCAGTTACATGCGTGCTGTGACTGCTGACCACATGATCAGAATGCCTGCTCCGCCTCCCGGCATTTAGATGCATTTCAGAAGCCCAGAGGCAGCTGCT